TGTCGTGGGGCTTGAACTCTGGGCCTGCGCGCTGTCCCTGGGCTCTTCAGCTCAAGGTGAGCGCTCTACCGCTTGAGCCACAGCTCCACTTCCGGTTTTCTACTGGTTTATTGGAGATGAGTCTCACGGATGTTCCTGCCCAGGCTGGCTTTGAACCTCAATCTTCAGATCTCAGCCTCCTGAGTAGCTAGGATTACAGGCGTGAGCCACCGGTGCTCCGCCCATGAAACTCTTATCTAGTGGCCTGAGTGACTATGTTTGAAGTACTGTTTGCACTTGAAATTACAAGATCAAAAGCTAAGCACATGCATTGCTCAACCATCTACCTGAAAGGCTGTAGACGTTTGCCATCTACCAGCAATGTATGGCAATGTATTGTCTGATACCTTCTCATATCTTCCCTTTGTATTCCCACAACATCGAGACAAGAAGATGCCTGATGCCTGCTGGATGGGTGGATCATCCTCCCTCTGTGCCTTGGTTTTCTTTTCTCTTCTTTTTTCTCTTTTCCTTCCTTCCTCCCTTCCTTCCTCCCTCCCTCCCTCCGTCCCTCCCTCCCTCTCTCTCTCTCTCTCTTTCTTTCTTTCTTTCTTTTTGGTGGGTGCCATACTGGGGCTTGAGCTCAGGGTTTTATACTCTCACTTGCCTTTCTTGCTCAAGTCTAGTGACTTGGGGCTTAGTGGTAGAGCGCTTGCCTAGCATGCATGAAGCTCTGGGTTCGATTCCTTAGTACCACATAAACAGAAAAAGCCAGAAGTGGTGCTGTGGCTCAAGTGGTAGAGTGCTAGCCTTGAGCAAAAGAAGCTCAGGGACAGTGCTCAGGCCCTTGTTCAAACCCCAGGACTGGCCAAAGACCAAAAAGAAGACTGGTGACTCTACCACTTGAACCATGCCTCTACTTCCAGCTTTTTTCTGCTTAGTTGGAGTGTAGACTGCTTGGGCTGGTTCTTTTTTATTTTTTTTGGGTCCGGTCGTGGGGCCTGAACTCTGGGCCTGGGCGCTGTCCCTCAGCTCTTCAGCTCTACCACTTGAGCCACAGCGCCACTTCCGGCTTTTTGCTTTTTGCTTATGTGGTGCTGAGGAATTGAACCCAGGGTCTCAGGCATGCAAAGCAAGAGCTCTACCACTGAGCCATCTTCCCAGCCCCTGGGCTGGTTCTTATCCTCAAACATCAGATCTCAGCCTCTTGAATAGTTAGCTAGGATTCCAAGCATGAACCACCGTTGCCTAGCTCTTGTTTTTCTTTTTTTTTTTAATTTAATTTTATTTTATTTGTAAACATACTGTACAGAGGGGTTACAATTGCATGGGCAGGATAATGCGTACATTTCTTACCAAGCATTGCAGCCTCCTCCTTTGTTTACCCTTCACATCACTTCCCAGCCTCCCCCCTCTCCCCTCCCCCCCCAATCCCAATCCTTCTCCTTTGCCCCTTGTTTTTCTTATATAAAATCAAGATCTTGGATTAAGTCTGTTTTTCCAAATTTTCCCCCTGATAAGAATCACCTGAAACTCCTGCTAAAAATTCTGAGTTTCTGACTCTGAAGTGTATCATAGTTGTTTTTTTTTTCTTTTTGGTCGGTTGTGGGCTTGAACTCTGAGCCTGGATGTTGTCTCTCAGCTCTTCAGCTCAAGGCTAGTGCTCTACCCCTTAAGCCACAGCACCACTTCCAGTTTTCTGTGATTTATTGGAGATAAGTCTCAGGGACTTTCTTGCCTGGGCTGGCTTTGTACTGCAATCCTCAGATTTCAGCTTCCTGAGTAGCCACCAGCGCCCAGCTATCATAGTTTTATCTCCAGTGGCAGGGATGGAAATGTGGACATTTAGCCACAACTTTAATAAACTTCTATTAAGTTGCACATTATTTTTTTTTATTAACCGAGTTTTGTAAATACTATCCTGATTGATTCTAAATGTTCTCTCCAGGTCAATAATGTTCTGGTTTCATACACAAGACCTGATTTATTTATGGACCAATAGCCATAAACTTTAAATAGTGTAGGCTTCATACAGCTCAGGCAGAAATGTCCAAATGAAATATGTGTAAGTGATTGATTCAGAATGTATCATTTGTATCTTTGTCAAGGCTAAATATTTCAGATATTTTTACATTTAAGAAACTGTCACTGCAAGAATTTAAAATATTTCTAAAATGCCCAACTTGCATAGCAATACTTCTGTGCTGCTTTCTCACTGGGAATATTAAAATGATGGAATGCTTCCTGATAAAATAAATAAAACTTCAGACCCAAAGGAAGATCAGACTTCAAGGAAAAGACTGAAAATTGAAGTTTCACAGTGAAAAGGATATATGACCAGTAGAGAACAGTATCAATGATAAAAGGGGTTGAAAATAGATTTAAAGGGCTGATGTATAATTTGGAGAAGCTTCGGCTAAAGGATTTGCCACAAAAAGAATGCATTGAAGCTAGGCGCTGGTGGCTCACGCCTGTAATCCTAACTACTCAGGAGGTTGAGATCTGAGGATCACTGTTCAAAGCCAGCCCAGGCAGGAAAGTCTGTGAGACTCTTACCTCCAATAAACCACCAGAAAACTGGAAGTGGTGCTGTGGCTCAAGTAGTAGAGCACTAGCCTTGAACTGAACAGCTGAGGGACAGTGCTTAGGTACAGAGCTCAAGTCCCACGACCGACAAAAAAAAAAAAATCTCAGGGATAGCTCCCAGGTCCCAAGTTCAAATCCAGCAGCCACCACCACCAACAAAAGAATGTACTGATTTTAAGCCAATAAAGATTTTCCATAATTATTTTTCTTTCTGTGCTTTACTAATTTTTGAATAACATTTATAAGCACTCTTTTAGTGTATGCCAGTACTGGGGTTGAACTCAGGGCCTGGTGCTATATCTTACCTGTATTGTTCAAGGCTGGCATTCTACCATTTGAACCACAGCTCCATTTCTGTTTTTTTGGTGATTAATTGGAGATAAGAGTCTCTTTCTCTAGCAGGTTTTGAACTATGATTGATCCTCAGATCTCAGCCTCCTGACGAACTAGGATTACAGGTGTGAGCCATCAGCACCCAGCTACATTAATAAACTTTTAAATTAGTTATCAAGTTTTTTTTGATATTGGTACTTTAGTAAATTAACTCAGGTGTAGACTTTTTCTTTTTGGTCGGTCATGGGGCTTGAACTCTGGACCTGAGCACTGTCCCTCAGCTCTTCAGCTCAAGGCTAGCACTGTACCACTTGAGCTACAGTGCCACTTCTGATTCTCTGGTAATTTGTTGGAGATAAGAGTTTCACGGACTTTCCTGCCCGGGCTGGCTTTGAACCTCGATCCTCAGTTCTCAGCTTCCTGAGTAGCTAGGATTACAGGCGTGAGCCACCGGCGCCTGGCTTAGACTTTTTTTTTTAAGTAATAATTGAACACCTACACTATGGGCTAGGTACTCATTTATTGTTTTTGGTTGTGGGGCTTGAACTCAGGGCTTGTGCCATCTTTAAGCCTCTTTGTGCTTAAGGCTAATGTTCTTCCACTTGAGCCACTGGTCCACTTCCAGCTTTTTCTGTGATTAATTGGAGATAAGAGTCTCATGGGGACTTTACTGTCCAGGTCGATTCCAACCTCAATCTTTAGATCTCAGCCTTCTGAGTAGCTAGGATTATAGGTGTGAGCCACCGGTGCCCAGCCCCAAATACTCTTTTTAAGTGCTTGTACAAACCTACTTGATCTTCCCATCAACTCTATAGAATATGTTTTTGGGGCTGTTGTTTTGGGCAGTTGTTGTTTTGGGGTTTGAACTTCAAAGCTTGTTGCCAGGCACTCTGCTTATTGTTTAAGCTGTGCCCAGCTTCCCCTACACTCTGCTTTTTTGCTTTAACTATTTTTCAATTAGGGTCTAGTGTTTCTGCCCAGCAAGCCTCAGACTAAGATCCTGCTACCGGTGATCTCCCCTGTAGATGGAACTGCAGATGTGAGCCACCATATCTGGTTTATTAGCTGAGATGGGGTCTTGCTGACTTTGTACCTGGGTTAATCTCAAACTACAATTCCTCTGACTTCCAGCTTTTGAGTAGCTAGGATTGCAGATGTGAGCCACTGCACCCAGCATGAGTTTGTGTTTTTATTAATTTTTTTTGACAGGCAAAGACACTGAGGAACAGGTAATTGAACTTTATCAGTCAAGATCACACAGCTAGTAAGCCATAAAGCTGAGACTCAAGCCCAAGGAACCAACTCTGCTGTCTGTGCTCTTAGTCACATTGTGCCAGAGTAGAATTTAAGGTGGACAATTGCGATGAAGAACAATTTCTGTTTCCCTTCAAAAAAGAGTGATTATTATGAGCAAAAGACTGTGTAGACCTGAGCCATGAGTCTCACTATCAGAGAACAGTAACAAATAAGCAAGAATGAAGTCTTACAATGGCTCCAAGGTACTGAGTTAGGCAGGAGACATCAATATGAATTCTTGTTTAGTTTAAATAAACAGCATAAACAAGTAGATGGACTTACAGTATATAGAAATGGTAGATAATAGACAGATGGAAGAATAGGTGAAGATGCAGCTGTATGATAGATAAGATTATAAGTAGATAGATGATAGTTAGATAAGAGGTATATGAATGAGCTGTTATTAATATAGACACATACATGTCCTTCCTGTCCCTTTTTTTTTTTGGTCATCCGTGGGGCTTGAACTCTGGGCCTGGGCACTGTCCTCAGCTCTTCAGCTCAAGGTGAGCGCTCTACCACTTATGCCACAGCGCCATTTCTGGTTTTCTGGTGGTTTATTGGAGATAAGAGTCTCATGGACTTTCCTGCCCAGGCTGGCTTTGAACCTCGATCCTCAGATCTCAGCCT